TGACAAGACTTTCCTGTTATATGTCATGGAATGTGAGAAGCTCGAAGGATTAAAAAACTACTGTAGACAAAATGATCGATGTAGACAAAATGATCGAGGCTAATTACGAAATACTCAAAAATTGACGTGCTCAAAATGAATTTTTTGGGTAACGACAGCGAATTTTTTAAAAACAATGTGGTATATTTAGTTGATAGTGAGATTTTGAGTTTATATTAAAATATTAATTTAAATAAAATAATGAAAGTTAATTTAATATAAAAGTATGAGAGATGATGTGACCTGATAGTTAGGTAAAATTATTGAAATTGATAAATAGTGAATTATAGTTGATGTAATTTGTAAGACGATGAACAATAGTTATATAATGTTCTGTAGATGTTTAGAGTGTGTAGAGAATGTTGATTGTAAATGGACATGATACTCACTAGGATGAGCTGCTCAGACTGCCTAAGCTACTCACTCAGAGGAGTGTTACCTTGTTGTTCAAGACTACCCGAATGAGCTACTCAGACTGCCTGAGCTACCCATTCGTACTGCCCGAACTGTCTGAACTGTCCAATTCTATTATACAGTTTGGCCCAATCCATGTCTGAGCTAATTTGGATATATTCAAGACCGTCTAATCGTGAGACTAATCCCTCTCCTCATGAGGTAGTTCGCCTTCCTGGCTACACTCATGTGCTGGACCACAATGCCTCCAGATCGAGTTTCTGTCAGGCCATCTGAGGGTCATAACTCGACTTGTTGCGTCTCCATCGATCTGATGCCTCTCTCTATCTCTGATCGATCACTCTGTTAGTGTTATATACTGAAAGATTGACTTTATATGATATGACACTTTTACCCTTTATGAATTAGAAACATGTTAGATTAATCAAGTTTTATGTTCTGTTGTTTTGCATTAGATAGTGTGGGTCGTCATCAGGCGAACCGAAGATCATACTATCAGTTACTCGCGAAACAAGAATTAATAGTTCACAACCTAATTAAATGGACATGAACACTCATCGGAACGGTTGTAGTGTCAATTGTACAGTTTGTCTTCACTGATTAGTTGCACTAGTACATTTATGTATCGAACAGGATCCCAGAGATAAGCAGTTCGTTTTATACTGATCGTCGTAAACGAACTAAGCCTCGGTTAATTACTGCGTCCTCTTAACCCGTAAGATATTAAACAGGCATATGTGTAGTACTTATTACTTTGATTCACATGGGTGAGTCTTAGTGAAACTGCGCCAATAAACTCTCTGTCTTGGGTAATATTCTTACATGTAGGATGTGTTGTTAGGATATTTACGGTCACCATGTACGTTTAGTTTGATGATGTCCCCGGAGTGAGTTCATGAAGGATTATTATGCTAAACACTGCAGGTGGATTAAATTTCGACATAGTAAGAATATATGAGCGAGTGCTAGCTTCGGTAAAATAATAATAAATTAATTAATTCTTGATTGTCAGTAATCAAAATTGATTAATGGACATTATATCTTAAACATGATGAGATAAATCGAGTAATTATTATTGGAGTCTCAACTGTAAATTGGGCTAGGAAAAGAGAGTGCAATAATATTATGTTGGTGGCCCATTTAGTATTATTTAATTAATTAGAATAAGTGAGCTGACCCACAAGTATTTTAATTAATTAAGGAGCCATAATCCTAATCTCCTAAGAGTCCCTACTGTAGCTCTATATATACATTATTAAGCTCATGAGAAGAGAGCAAATAATCATAATTATACACGCAAGTTGCGCCCCAATCTTCTCTCTCTCAGTTCTCATTCGAGCTTTATCTTCTTCTTGTTGTTCCACCGGTACAAGTTGAAGAAGGTGTTTGAGATATACAGTAGAAGATCCATAGGTGTTTGAGATCCAGTGATCATCTACACGAAGTTGACGGACCACGAGCCCGAGCCCGAGATCCACCAACCGCGACTACCACAGGCCCACCGGACAGTCGCCGCGAGCCAGCCCAGTCGGAGGAGACGTGCCGCCGATCGCGACCAGGCTAGCTCGGTCGGGACGCCCAGACCCGCGACGCTCACCCCGCGACATAACACCCATACAGCCCGCGACGCCAGCCCGCGACCGAGTGATCCCCCCACGCGCGACCCGATCACGAGGACCCGACCCGGTTCATCCATTTGATCCGCTCGTGTGTTAGTACGTCCATGCGAAAGATCAGTCAAATTGCCATAAATTTTAAACCGTAAGTTTCTTACGAAAACCTTTAGATCCGCTGCGCACAGGTTTATGTTTGCTATTGAATTCATGATTTGTGCATAACGAGATCCTCATAGATCTCAACACTCTCGGCTCACTCGGTTAGGTTGGTTGGTTTCTCGTGTCAAGTTGACCCAGTATAGTAGTGTTAATTTTTATACTGAAAGCTTGGCTTTAGATGTGATTCACAATACGTATTTTGAATGAAAAATCATGTTTGATTAAATAAAATTCTACTTTCTACCATTTTGCATTTAGATTAATGGTTCATCACGGATGGACAATCGATTCACAACCTAGATGGAAATTGAACAATCCATTTGAGTGGTTGTAGTGTGGGCAGTAGTTCTTCTTGACTGATTAGCTACATTAGTACACATTGGTGTATTCAATAGATCCCACGGATGAGCAGTTCGTTGTATATTAATCCGCGTAAACGAACTAGGCATCAGCTAGTTATGCATTCTCTTAACCCATAAGATACAAACAAGCATATGTACGTAGTAATTATTGTTTTGATTCATGAAGGTAATGTTTATTTATATGGACCAATAACTGCCTATTTTGGATAGTGATTCCTACATGACATGGTGTTTTGTTATAATATATACAGTCATAATGTACTTCACAATATTCAGGTTTGATGATGTTTACGAGTGAGTTTAGAAGAATTATTATGTTAAACTCTGCAAGTTGAATAAATTCCGACATAATAATAATGATTGAACGGTGCTACCTTCGGTTATATAAGTCGATTAATTTAATTATCAGTAACTAAATAAATCGACGGGAATTATATCTTAACATTGGGAGGTAAATCGAGTATATTAGAAAGTGGAGCTCAAAACGTATATTTGGAATTAAATTTTGGAGTATTTCAATAATACTACCTTAGTAGAATGACTGTATTATTCCTATTAGGCTTGGTAGGCTTGGCCTACAGTCTACTCCTAATAAGAGAAGCTCAATTTAACGTCTCCTTAGGAGCTGATATATTGAAGTATATAAATACACATCTTCTCTAGTCTTACAAGACATAACACACATAGATTACCTTCTTGTCAAGGGAGTTCTAGAAGTGTTAGGATATCCAATAGAAGATCCTTAGGTAGTCGAGCATCAGACCACCGTCGGCCTTCTCGATCACCATCGTGCGACGCCGAGCACAACCATGTGACATCCCTGGCGACGAAACACGCAACCTAATCGCGAACAGCAGACGCCCGACGAATCACACACATAACCCCGACGCATGCTTTATCGCAGCTCCAGTTCCCGACGCGACTCGCGAACTCCTCCTGCCCGGAGACGACCTGCTGCAAACCTGCAACGACATGCAAACCGCGACAATCTCACATGCATCCAACTTGATCCGACGCCACTCAATGCCATCCCCTACCAGCTTTCGGTGCCCGATCGCGTTTCTCGACCCACACGCACGGAACCCGTTCGAATCGAGAAGGCTCGTTCGGCTTCCCAATGGACTTTGTGATCAGAATATCTCCAAAAGATATCTACTGCGTCTCAGAGTTGGCAAAAATAATAAATCGCCTGAGTCTTCTACTTTAACCTATAGATCCGTTGTGAATAGGTGTTTTTGTCATTTAATTTGTAACTTGCACATTAGCGGCGATCCTTCTACCCCAACAGGTATTCCATATCAAGCCTTTGAACACATTTTTCGTAATAGTTGGTTGTCGAGTGTCAACAAAATAAAAGGTTGAAAAATCTTAATTTGATACGTTATTTACAATACTGAACGACTTATCATGTATATGCTCCATTTGAATTTTTTTTTATTTTTTTAAAAGTAGGATTAGTATTTAAATCAGAAAATAAGAAGTTATAAAATATGTATTTAAAATGATGAATAATATTTTTTATTCGATATTTAGATTATAATAGGTTAACATCTATATGATGAAATAGTTAGAAAATAATATGTAATTAATAAAAATGTAATAACTAATTTTGATAATTAAATAAAAAAAGTAATTTTTTTGGTACAGGGACCTTTCGGTTTCCGGATCCACATGGGAAACAAAGCAGTTAAACTGCGGATAAATATAAAACTTTGTGTACGAAAACTTTCATCCCAGCGCTCTGGGCCAGCCTTTTATGGTTTCCAATGGCGGGTCTGCAGGCTTCCCGGCGCCCTCAACCACCGTCGTCCGCCGCCAACCACCATTGCTGTACCGCTAAGCTCTTGCTTTTCCTCACCCTTCTCTCCCTCTCTCTTGCCATCTTCGCCTTCCTCTTGCAATGGAAGTTCCCGGGAATGGATTCTTCTCCCCTGCCCACGCTTCGGCACTCTTCGTCTCATTGTTCCACGCTTCTGAGACACTCCAATACGACGTCGTTTCCGTATTTCCGAGATTGGAAGTTCAAATTCGATGCCGATCTTAAGCCCAAGGTTTTT